TATATATATATATATATATATATATATATTCAAACTAATGCCTTCGTCAAAAACAAACCTCTTTTATCTTTGAAAATCTACGTTCTTGCTCTTCCCTCGACAAACCTGGAGACTGCTCGAAATACTCTTTCACCGCTTTATTGATTTGATCCAAACCGCCTAAATGGTAAAATTTGCAAAAGAACATAAATTTTGGGAAAAAAAGCAATTTCAAATGACGGAGAATGGCCTGATGTCTGTCATTCAAAACTCAAAGGTAATGACTGGGCACGGCTAAGCAAATATTATAGGCGAAACAAGAAAAGCAGCTAACTTTGAACTTTAAGATCTAGCATTCTCAAGTCGGTACATCGTTCTCGTAGTTCATTCGGAAGATGTTCAATAACTAAAAAATTGAAAATAAAATCTATTACCACAAAAGGAAAAAGCATCAACACTTCTGTTGTATCTATTTATCTAAAAAGCAGTGAAATTTGAATGGAAAAATTATTTCTACGATATAATACCAGAAAATTTCCAAATGAGAAAAACAACATTGTTTTTTGTCCATATGAAATTATTCTTGATAAATCCGGTCAATTGCTCTCAAACAGTTTACTAGGAGAGTAACAAATAAATTACTGTTAGCAAAATTGACGCGTTAATTCTTACGTTCTAAAAAATCTTCCAGATACAGCATCGTAAGCACGCAAAAACAATTTTCTGAAAGAAAATGCCCAATTCCTAAATGCAGTAACAAATATTATCATTATAAAACTCGAGTCGACCAATAATCCGAACAAATACCGCAGTTCAATATTACTAAAGCACACAAGAGATACAACGTTACGATAAATAAAACTGGAAACTGAACAGCACAAAGAAAATGAAGCTAAAAAAAAAAAACTGTCGTTTTAACAAAAAAAATTTTGGATGCTGATACAATTGTTGTAAAAAAGCCTTCAACTTCTGCAAACACGAATTCACATCAAGGGTTACAAAAAACCAGAAAAATATCTATATAAGCACCAAATCAGTGGTGGAAATGCTACACTGCAACTGTTGCACCAGTAGTTTTAACAGGAATGTTTGCACTAAACAATGACCTCTCTTCAAGCTGTTAACCGAAAACAAACGCAACCACTGCAGACAAAGCCACCTCCACCGTCTATGCTGCTTCTGTGGTAGTACAAAGAAAAAAAACCGCTAAGTAGCAGCAAAAAAGGCATTTTTTCTTTATATTGACCTGCTAACAAAATCGTAAACCTCTTGGCTGCCTTCCAGCAGAAAAGACTAGTAAAATTCATTTATACATATAAGCAGTATCATTTCTCTTAACACAAATTGGAAATGACGATGCCTATAATTTGGTGTGAAAATTCCTTCGCAGCAGAACCAAAATTACAATGATGAGGTCGGCTAGTAACTTATAAAAATGCTGACTTCAGTCCGAATTGAGTGGTGTTTACCTAGCTTATTTTTTAGAAAACTGCGGGTTTTTTGATTTCTTTGATTACCCCAGAGTTATAGATGCGTGTCTCTCTCAATGTCTATGTCGATCTTTGCAGCTGTCATCAAGATATTCGCTAAAATGTGGCGGTAGAGCTAATTTCCATTATTACTAGTTTTGTTACTTGTATTTAAAAATACGGTTTGTTGACAACGGTTTTTTTTTCTTTTTTTTTTTTTTTTTTCCACACATTCCACGGAATGCGTTCTTAACAGAAGTTAAAACATTCCAGTGCGGTAACCCTACTATTTTTGTTTTTGAAAACCTACTATTTATAAATGCAGATAGATTGCTTCTTCTCGTGATTAAGTAATTCTGTTTTCGTTCAATAATTGATATAGATCAAGCATTTGTAAAGTATTCGCTATCGTTGTGCTTGCCGCAGTTGTTGCTACGTGCCGCTTGCTGAATTTTTTGTGTTTTGTACAAATTAAGAAAAGGGCTATTAACCTCTGATTCATGTTCTAGCAAGTAACAAGAGCCTTGATTCCAGTAAAATTCAACAACTGTTATGCAGTCACAAATATGATGGGCAAAATGACGCCGAAAAAGCCTTAGAACTTCTAGGATAAATCAGTTAAAAACACCCTAGTTTAGACTTAAGCCAGTGTTTTTCTCAGCGGCCAGCAAGAGAGGTTACCGTATTCTCTCCGACGCACACATTCGTAGTGGGCTCTCCTATCTTCATAAGACACCTCTACGTCTTTGCCTAAATTTCAGTACAAAAGTGAACTATTTCTGTATCGAAAAGATTGAAAATAATAAACACTGATACTTTTCCGTCATTTGGCTTTTTTTTAGAGGGGGGGGAGGAGGGGTGGGGGATTATCTTTTTTTCGCCATTACTTTTCATTGTTTTCCCATCCGATAGAGAGCTGCCTTGAGTTCCCCATTTAA